TTATAATTTTCTCTATTTTTCGTCTTTGAAAAATAAAATAAAATAAAAACAGTGTCAAAAAATTCTAAAAATTTGGATAAACAATCATTACATTTTTCTGAACATGCTTGCAAAATGTGACCTCAAAAAATGAAAAAAGAAATACACTGTGGAACGCCTAAGGGCCGGGATGAGTCAAAAATTCACCTGGTGACAAATAACAACGCAGTTGCAATGAAATTATAACAAAGAGTTATCCTCAATCTTGTTTTTACAAGGATAAAGGCAGCATATATTTATTACATTCTGAAACTCTTGCGCAGCAAGAGAAAAAGGTGAAGTAAAACATATCCAAGTCTATATATTCCGAGATGCTATTCAACTTTGCACGTAACACCATATTGACTTAATTGTACGGGAATATGGAAAAGAAACAACCATCTAAATCGAGATTTAGAGGGGCTTTGAGAAGAAACTTAAAATTCTCAAAAAATGTTGACGTTCCCTATTGCAAATTTATCTCATCTTTAAAGGGGTTTCTCAGGGAAACTGAATTGGCTCAGGCTGTATCGTTTTCTCCACAAGCTCCGCTTGTTCCTTTTGATGAACAGTATAGAAACCAGTGGCCGTGGCAGCTGATGGAGGCCGGCCGACGTACTTTATGTCATCAAAGTTTCCTCTTTGCAGAGCCTTCATGGCAGTGTAGAGGCGTGGTGCAATATAACTGTACGCACCCATGTTCATTGGCTCTTCTTGACACCAGACGATCTCAGCATCTAAATGAATATTAGAAGAGAAAAATGTCAGAGCTCATAATATCTAGAGACTTATCTCCACGGATATAGATAACGACAAAACATGGATCATTTCAAATTTCCAGCAAGTAATGAAATTTCCAGCAAGTAATGCATAGATTGATTTTCACTCCAGAATATCCAAACTTCGATTAAAGGGAAAGAAAAGCTACAAGTTCAAATTACGTACTCGAATATCGCTTCAGTTCTCTCTGAATAAGGTCATATGGGAAGGGGCAAAGCTGCTCCACCCTACATATTGCAACATCCTTCGCTTTTTTGTTTTTGCGCTTTTCATCAAGCTCATAATAAACCTGCAAAATTGAAATCCTTGTCAGTGAAGATGGACCTTTTCATCTCAGTAGGCAATAATGGGATGTTGACCTTTTCATCTCAGTAGGCAAGAATGGGATGTTGTATAAGCAATGGAGACATACAGACAGACAGGCAAACGAGCAGATTAAATCCAGTATACTGCAAATATGGTCCGAGTAAAATCATACCTTCCCAGAGCAAAGAACTAGTCGTCTAATGCCCTCCTCAAGGTCAGAATGATCATTCTGATCCTTTATTAGGCGCTTAAATCTGGTTCCCTGTTTGTCAAAACCTGGGTGACCCTGGACATCATCAAATTCAGATAGATTTGATTTGCAGTCCTTGTGCCGAAGCAGGTTTTTAGGAGCCATCACAATAAGAGGCTTCCTAAATTCCCTGTGTATCTGAAAGAGTAACAGAATGTTAGAATGCAGAAACTTCAAGTTAATAGAAATTCATGACGCAACGAAATAGTTTCACCAACCTGACGCCGCATAACATGGAAGTAATTTGCAGGAGTAGTAACATTGACAACCTGCCAATTGCATTCCTGAATCTGCTTGCGAAGAGTCGGTTCCATCTCAGGAATAACAAAAGGGTGGTCATCACTCATCTGCCATCAAATTAGTGAACATGGATTAGCTGGACGTAATCTAGTCTGGACAAGACCGGAGGAAACCTGATAAAATAAAAGGTGGTTTTCAAGGAAATAAAAGAAACTAGACAAAAACAAAATGGGGCCGAATTTAATGCGAGGTTTATTCCACTCTCCAACCCTCACTCATAAACATAAAAATCCATGAAATTGCTTTGTGAATCTCTTTGATTCACAAAAATTTTCCTCCTGACCCCATAAAATGAACACAACAGCTGAAGAAATGAGGAGAGGGAGAAGGAGAAATAAATAAATAAATATATATATATATATATATATAGAGAGAGAGAGAGAGAGAGAGA